CGGGGGTGGGGGTGGGGGTGGGGGTGGGGGGTGTGAAGCCTGAAGTCATTTCTGCTCCAGAAACCAGACGCACGCGGGTTTTCCTTCCTGGGCCGGCGGAATCCTGCTCATCCAGGCAGGAGGAAGTGAGAGTTTACTGTAAACAGGGCTCCCTGTAGCCTTCGTTTATGGTCAAATATCACAAAGACCTGCTGGGGAGAGGTGCCCGCTGGCAGGCGCACCTGCCCCTGATGTGGAGGGCGGCTCTGCCCCGGCTCCGGGCTCTGGGCTCCTCTAAGGCCGAGGGGCTGGGCCCCCAGCTCCCTGCGCGAGCTCCTGGGCCCGCGGGGCCCGCCTCGAGCGGACAGCTCTGTGGCCGTGGGGCTCCGTGCAGAGTCGCGGCCTGCCCGGCGCGAGCCCGGCTGACTCTGCACAGACGTTACGCTGCGTTTTTGCGTAAACAGGAGTCCTTTCAGGTGGCATTTCATCCTTGACTTTGAGACTCAGGTGACTTTCTCTCTGGGGGATAGAGTCCCGCAGGCTGCACTCCAAGTTCCCGAGGACCGGCCAGGATCCTCCTGGGCACCGTGCCCGGGGAAGCTCCGCCTGGCGGGAGGCCTCCTCCCCACGAGGACGCGCCCACCCTCCCCCCGGCCCCTGCTCGGCTTCGTCGCGGGGCTCCATTCTGGCTCCGGCTTCCGGGCCCATCGGGGAACAGCTCCGGTGAGACCGGACACCGGAGTTGGACTCAGACAACGGGGATCGCAGCCCCGGCCTTCTCTCCTGAGGACCTGACCCTGGTGGGGACGGATGGAGGGCGGGAGGGAGGCACCTCCACCCCGGGCAGACGCTCTCAGGGTGACTCATCCGGGTGCGGAGCCACGACAGGCTTCGCTGCTCACCCTGGCTGCGCTTGGTTTGGGAAGGCGTGGAGACCAGTGACTTCTCGTGACCCGGGGTTGAGGCACCCGTGAGCTTGCCCAGGCAGGGCCCACGCTGGGCATCGAATCCACGCTACGCGGAGGCCGGAGTGGCTTTCAGGAGTCCCCCCAGGCCCCCTGCCTGGCTCTGTGCTGCCAGGAGCCCTCTGCAGCCTACCCCGGGCTCCGGGGCTCGGCCCTCCCCCATCCCAGGGTGCCAACCGGCCCCTGGAAACAGGTGGGGCCTGGGGTTCCCAGGCTGGAGGCTGGGGGTGCTGCTCAGGGTTTTGATGGACCCACGGATCGGACAGAGGAGGTGGAGAGACAGAGAGACGGGAGGAGAGGGGAAGAGAGATCCACCTCGTGGCTAAGTGGGGAGACTGGGACAGGAAGGTGGGGTCAGCACGTGGGAGGGGTGCAGGGATTCTAGGCAGAGATGCCGTGGTCGGTCAATTCCATCACGCTGCTGGCAGACAATGCAGGCCAAGGATTGATTTGCCGATTACGTTTGGTCCCCATGAGTGTGTACCTGCATGTTTGACCACCTGGCGCTCCGGGGTGGCGAGAGGCGGGACCGTCCGCACAATGCCCACCTCACTGCTTTGCCGCACGTGGCCTCCACCCCGCCACTCTCTGCTCATCGCCCTCAGCCCTTCCTGCATCGGCCCGCCCCCACCCCCAGCCTCTCTGAGAGCCTTTGCCTGGGTAGCTGCACACATCCTCCGAGACCCAGCCTGCCCTTCCTCTAGTTTCCACGGTACCTCTGCACCCCCCTGCCTGAGCGCCTAGGTATGGACCTGGCATTCCCGCATGAGTGTTGGTCTCTTTATATTGCTAGAACTCCCTTGGCTCAGAATCTCCATTCAAATGAACTTAAGTAAATAGGAAATGTATTGGCTTACATTAACTACATCTCCCAGGAGCAGCTTCAGGCTTGGCTGGATCCAGGAGCCCCAGTCATGGCCTCGAGTCTTGGCCTCTCTCTCCCTGTCTTGGTTCTGCTTGTCTTTTATTGACTTCATTCTGGGTGTCAACTCTCTCCCCACGGGGTGGAGGTGGCCTCTGACAATCCCACAGTTGCCTCCTACCAAGTGAGCCCCGATTTTCTGGTCACTCTGGGAACAAGTCCCAGAGGGGGTTCTCATGGTGTGATTTGGGTCACGTGAGCATCGCAGAACCAACCGCTGTGGCTGGCGGACGGGGTACATGTCTGTCCCTATACTGGGTAAGGGCAGCCCCACAGGAAGGAGAGGTTTGCTGCCTGGCCAAGGGGAGAGGGAGGCTGGGCAGTCTCCCCAGCGGGCCGGGTGAGTTCCTCACGAGAAGGTTGTGCATTTTAAATGTCTCTGCACCCGTGGCCCCCTGCACAGTGCCTGGCACATGGGTGGGTACAGTCGTTCTTGACTAGCAACTGCCCCTCTCCCACGTAGGGGCTTCTTGGCTCTAGAGAGTGGGGCACACGGGCTCTGGGGAAATTATAAAGTGACAAAGGTCATCTTTGGGAAACCTCTCGGCTGCCCAGGTGTGGCTCTTCCTCCTCTGATGGCCTCAAGATGAAGGATTAAGCTGCAGCAGAATGGACAGGGGGCAGGGGTGGGCAGGCTTTCCTGGCCCCTGAGGCCCTTCCCACAATTATGACAGTGTTCAGCTCCAAATCAAAACCCACGGCCTACAGTGGGGAAATGCCACATAGATGCTGGAGGCTGTCTGCTGTGGTCATCCCAGACACCCAATGCCAGCCTTGGCAGAGAATCAGAGCCTCGAGGCCATGATGTGGGGTCCTGGATCTAGCCATGCCTGAAGCTGCCCCGTTGTCAACAGAACCTCCCTGCTTTCGGAGGCGGGTAAGGAGTTGGTGGATTCGGTTCTGGACGAGCCGTGTGTCTCCTCAGCGTCCCCCAACACTCCCCGCCGCCATCGCTGGGGCTGGCTGCTTCCAAGGCTCTCCCTCTGCTGAGCCCACCCCCAGGGCGGGGATGCATCGGGTCCTGACGTCCTCTGATCCCGGGGAGCCTGGAACCTCCGTGCGTGACATTCACGCAGGTCTGCAGCTCTCTCTGCCCTCAGCGTCTCCTTTCCTTCCCCAGGCTAAAAACGCAGACGAGCGCACCCCCACCCACCGTAACGGGTTCTCTGGAGTCTCGAGGGTGAGGAACGCCACCGCAGAAAAGGCGGCGAGGCCACAGCGCACGTGTTCTCTCTGCGGGACGGGTCTCAGAGCCTCGGCTCGGGGTGAACACAGAGCGGTTTTGTTGGGGCCAACAGCCCCTCCCGATCATGCTTTGCGGCCTCCTCCCCTGCGCGGGCCCCGCCACACCCGGTCACTTTGGGTGGTCGGGGTGCCGTCCTCTGTCTAAAGCAGCTTCTCATCCCGCCCATGGCCCGCCTGGCCGGAGCCGGACTGTGTCACACGGGGCTCCGGCTGCCCCCGGCCCAGGTGCCACCAGGTCTGATGCCCCCAGCCCCGTGGCCTGCCCTCGCGAGTCATCATGCATAAAGCCCGGCAGGGAGGTTTCCGTCCCCGGAGGGCCTCTCAGGATCGGAGTGGGGTGCAGGGGGAGTGGGGGTGTCAGGGGCTGCTTAGCTCCACTGCCATTTACAACCTCAGTCACCGACTCCGGGGCTCTGGTAGGCACCTCCCTCTCAATCCTGTTCTCACCGTGCCCTCGCTAGCTCCCCAGATGCCACCCCGCGGTCCCCGGCTCCTGGTGTCCGGGCCCTTGTGGAGTCTGGGCTGCTCTGTGCCAAGGTGAGTGGCAGCCGGGACGAGGTCACAGGCGACATTGTGGTTTCCACCTTACCCCCTTTCGGATCACTGACCCTGGTGGACCCCGGCCGCCATGCTGTGAGGACGTCCGCGTGGCTCTTCGGAGATGCCAAGCGGCCGGGCACCGAGGGCCCTGCCAACGGCCGTGTGAACTCACCTTCTCGAAAACAGACCCTCCGGCCCCGGTGACACCCGCACGTGATGCCACCCTGTCTGACATCTTAGCTGCAGCCTCGTGATAAACCCTGAGTCAGACCCCCCAAATCCCTGAGCCACAGAAACCACAAGGTAATAAACGCTTGTTGTTTAAAACGGCTACTTTTGGGGTAGTTGTTACAGAGCCCCGGGTAACTCCTCTCCCCTGCGTGCGCCCACACCTACTGGTTCTTGCTGTGGGAAACAAAGGCAAAGAAACAAATCAAATTTCCTTACAACGTACAGCCCATTGACAAGTCCTTGGGACAGGCAGGGTGACCTTCCCCCGGGAGCTCAGCGGCCTGGATGAGGACACTTTGCTCGGGGCAAAAGTCGATCTTAGCCTGACACTGTCCCACTCTCCAGGGTCCTGTGAGTCTCCTTTAACAAATAAAGATTCCTTTGGAAACTTCCTTTGTCTCAACACCCCCCACCCCAAGATATATGCTGGCAATCATCCTCCAAGCGTGTGGCCCCCTGATCTCCATCTGAAGGGTCTCATGACGGGGTTTTGACTAAACAGTAATAAATGACCTTTTCCCAACAACAGCAAGCCCCTCCGGGTCCTGGAAGCCTTGTTTCCAAAACTGCCGGGAGGCCTGTGCTGTCCTGAACCCCTCCCACCCTGAACCCCTCCTCGCAACCCCAGTGCAGCTCTTTCTGTGCACGGGTCCGTCCCCCTGCTTTAATAAAATCACCTCCTTCTTTGCACGGAAGACGTCTCGGGAATTCCTCCTTGGCTGTTCGCTCCGAACCCCACGTTTCCACGTCAGTTCTGTTCTCCTGGAGAGCCCTGCCCGTCCCGGCACACACTCAGGCCAACCACCCCCCCAGCCCCCAATCCCCGCCTTGCTTCTTCAGGTCTGTCTACGCTCCTGCCCACAGTTCCTTGGTTACACGCTTCTCAAATGAGCCGGTTTGCACGCAACAGCCATTTCTTGTCAGGCCCACGCTTGGCAAAGCCACCCCACCCCCACCCCCAGTCAAGACCCAACCAACTGCCACTGGAAGGGACTTTCCGGGCCTTTCCCAGCTGGAGAAATCTGGAAGCAACTTTGACCTTTTCCTCAGATCCACCCGCAGCAGCAGCGACGGCTGAGGACCCGTAATAAAGAAAATGCAGTCGGATGCACTGGAACGACGTTCTGCTTTCTCATTGCTAACCGTCAACCTCCGCAGGTAATTGTGCAAAGGGGGCAGCGTGTGAGAGGACACTACTCGGTTCCACCGTCACCCGCATGGCCTCCGGGGCCCCGGGAGCCGCCTTCCACCAGGGAGAGAGGGCGGAGGGCTCCGTCCCCGTGTCCCTGTCCCCGTGCCACCTGCGGAGGCCGACTTGCCCAGGCTCTTCGGGAAAGTCCCGGGAGGAGGGACTTCCTCACCGCATCCCTGGAATGTTGTTTTCCCTCCGGAGGAAGCCTGGGCGCAGGAGTCTCTTCCTGCCAGGGATTCCCCTCCGGTGCCCCCACCCCTGAGACGCCGCTGCCCACAGGTCGTGGGCTGGTGGCCGGGCGGCCGCGGGAGGGGCGGGTCCAGAGCCACGAGGGGCAGCACCAGCCCCGGGGACCCTGCCTGTGTTTAGGCGTTTGATGTTTCGTTCATCAGGAATTTTGAATTAATTCTGGCTTCGGAGAGGGTTGGGCTAAAATGGTGCTCATCTTGATCAGTGAGTTTTTTTAGTGACTCCCACTTGGATTTCGCACCAAGACAAGCATCTCCCTCGCTGTGCCCTGACGTCTGGTTTCTGCCCTTGAGGGACGGGACACACATCACACACTGGGTGTGCGTGGTCATCTGCATGGGGCATCCCCCGCGGAGCCTGAACCCCATGCAGCCACGGGCCAGCACCTGGCAGACGCCAACAGAAGCCCGATAAACACCAGTACACGGAAGGGGCCTGACCCTCTGGGGCCAGGACCCCGCACGGACGGCGGCAGGGCCCCCGGCACAGCAGGAGGGCAGTCCTGAGGGACACAGAGCGGCCACTGCCCGTCTGCCGGCCCCACGCTGGCCTCCGCCCCGGGGTAGTGACCGGGCAGTGCTGTGGATGCCCGGTGGCTTCTGAGGGACCAAAGGGTTGGTGTGGGTCCTTACAGAAGGGGTCTGGGGGTCCCGGCGGCTGCAGCAGTGGCCACAGTGGCCCCCATCCCAGATGGGTGAGGCCGCCCGCCGCCCAGCCCTGGGCCCAGACTCCCCGGGATCACACCAGCCCTGCCTGGTTTAGACGCTCCCTCCCCAGTTCTCAGCACAACTCCGCCCCATTCTCCCGCTGATGTTTCTCTGAACCCCTCTTGGAACATCAACCTGAACACCGCGTTTCAGACGCACCATGAACAGACGCAGGCCTGTGAACAGCACGATCCCAGACATGCAGAGTGCAGGGCCCCTCCCCTGTCTCCTCTGCCAGGTCCCCCAGCCCTAGGGCCCCTGTCACTCCATCTGATACATGGAAGGGTCAGCGAATGCTCCTTGACCTGGTGCTGTGCTGGGGGCTTCATGCCGTGGGCCACCCCCACCCCCCGGGCCCCTGTTGTGTGGTTGGGGCTCAGCGTGTTAAGTGACCTGTGTGGGGTTGCCCGGCGCCTGCCCCCTGGGGTACCCTGGAGCGTGGGGCTCCCCACTTTGCTGAGATCGAGTCCCCTGGAAAGGGAAGCAGGGGTGGGCTCCACGTGGGGTCGGCACGTCCCTGCGTGTGCCGTGCCTTCTGAAGCTTCTCCGTTGGCCCGGTCCAGGGCCTGCAGCCGAGCCCTGGGACGGTCCAGGCAGCCAACAGAAGGGAAGGGGACAGGTGAGGTGGGCCGAAATAGCAAGTGTCCCGGCTGCCCCGCAGGACCCCTCCGAGCCGTCCCCTGTCTGTCTGTCCTGCACCCGCCCAACTAGGCTCAGGGCCGACCAGAGAGCACCCGCCCTGCCTGCCCGGTTTCTGCAGTGAGCACACCCTCTCAGAGAAGGAGCTGGAAGCCCAGAAAGCCGCTGGCAGGGCTGAGAGAAGGAAGGGCGTCGGGAAGAGAGGTCTGTGTGCAGGTAGAGCCTGTGCACATGTGTGTTACACACACACGTGACACACACACCATGGACACGCCCACATGCCCCTCACACACCAACACACACAGAACTAGGCTTTCCTCTTGCACAACAAGCACAAACTCCTGGGTCTCCAATCAGCCAGAGCTGTGTTTCTGGCTCTCACTCTGTGCCGCATCCAATCTACTCCGTTTGCCACAAGGCCTACCCACCTCGGCACAGGTGAGCCTCACCTTGCCTCACTGCCTGACCAGGGCTGTCCCGGGAGGTGTGGGCCAGTGACCAGACCTGCTTGCTTTCCTGATGGGGTCAAGTGCTGTTGGGCAGAGAGAGCCACCGGGGCACCATTCCAGCCAGGGGAAGTACCCCCGTACTTGGCTGAGGAAACCAAAGCCCAGAGACCACGGCTCGCCCAAGGTCACACAGCACAGCTAGGCTCCTTCCTGCATGCAGCCTGGGGGTGGAGGGACTCAGCTTGTGAATCAGCTTGGTGCCCACATCCAGTCTTCCACCTGGTCCTGGCCCCCAGCCCTCTGCTGATAGTGGGTACCAGGAAGTATTTACAGAGGGGCTATTGGATGGTGTCCTGACACCCTCCCTCCTTATTCCCATTTATGCCCACGGACAAAGGACCCCGTGGATCACCTACCTCACTCTCCCAGAAAACAGCTTTGGCATGTACTTTGTTAACGAGACCGCAGTCTGCTGACCCATTCTCTGCCTTCAGCCACACTTCCTCGCCTGCTGGTCATTCTCTGTGTCTCTCTCTCACTCCTTTCTAAGCCTCCCTCTTCCCTGGGACTCTGAACCACATCACTCATTCTGTCTTTGGTCTGCAAAATGCCCACATCTGTAAACATCCCTGCAAACATCCTGAGCTCTTCCACTCCCTCACCTTCTTGATGAGCCAACACCTTGTTTATGTAGAAACTTCAGGTGATGCTCTTGTCCTGAAGTCAACTTGTCTGATATTAATATAGTCTCATCCACTTTCTTTTTTTTTAATTTTTTTAATGTTTATTTATTTTGAAGGAGACAGAATGTGAGCAGGGGAGGGGCAGAGAGAGAGGGAGACACAGAATCTGAAGCAGGCTCCAGGCTCTGAGCTGTCGGCACAGGGCCTGACACAGGGCTTGAACTCATGGACCGTGAGATTACGACCTGAGCGAATTTGGACACTTAACTGACTGAGCCACCCAGGCTCCCCTCACCCACTTTCTATGGTTAGAGTGTGACACTGTGCCTTTCCCTACCCAATACTTTCAATCTCTTTGTGTTCTGATATTTAAACTGTGTCTCTTGGCAATAGCATACAGTTCAGTCTTGATGTTCTTATGCAATCTCATAAGCTCTGTCTTTTCACTGGAGTGTTTAGTCCATTTACATTTAATGTAATTAGTGATATGGCTGGGTTCAGACCTTCAGTCTTGCTATTGCCACCTTCTCTTTCCTCCTTTGTTCTTCCTTTCCAGACTTTCCTGGTGCTCTGTCTTTGCCTTTCTACAGACTTAGGCTCACATCTGGGATCACTTTCCTCTGGTATTATTTCTGTTCTGTAGGTCTGCTGCTGATAAATTCTTTATTTGTCTGAAAAATGTCCTCGTTTTCGTATTCATTTTAGAAGGATGTTTGCACTGGGTATGGAATTCTAGGTTGAAAGTTCTTTCCATCAGCATTTTGAAGGTGTATTAAGTTGCCTCTGGCTTTCGTTGTTCTTTTTTTTTTTTTTTTTAATGTTTATCTGTTATTGAGAGATAGAGAGACACAGAGAGACAGAGAAGAGACAGAGACAGAGGGGCAGAGAGAGGGGGAAACACAGAATCTGAAGCAGGCTCCAGGCTCCGAGCTGTCAGCACAGAGCCCACCATGGGGCTCAAACTCATGAAAGTCACGAACCGCGAGATCATGACCTGAGCCAAAGTCAGATGCTTAACCAACAGAGCCACCCAGGCGCCCCTCATTGTTCTTAA